TAAATACTTCTTTCTCTTTGGTGGACATCGACCGGACAGGAGGGATCACACCAGACGGATTTTAAGTCCTCATAGGGCGGTGAACTTTATTTTTTGTTGATTTCTTTGAAGGTTTGGCATGTCTTGATGCACCTTTAAACTAGAAATTATCCAGTCAGATATCTTCACATTTTGATCTCCTTTATACTTCTTGGAAAGTCTGTGGAAGGCGAAAAATAGGTGTTGACAACTCAAAGGGATAGAATTTTTGTTGTTGCCAGCTCTTGATAGTTCATCTGCACAAGGAATAACTTCATCATAAATTGTTCCTTGGTGAGGGAGACCACCTAGCATATATAGATCTCGAAGAGAAATTGATAGCTCGCCAATAGAACAATGAAGTGTATTAGTGGCTGGGCACCAACATTCAAGGAATGCTTTGAATACATCTTCATGACGATCATAGGAAAATAGGGAGGCGAATAAAGCACCATATAGTTGTTGTTTTGATAGAAAGTCGTGGAAACGCGCCAAGACATCTTCTAACCACTCCCAATATAGTTCGGTGTATAGCAATTCCGCAAGAAGTTTATAGGGAATACTCCATAATATTTCCTTTGCCTGAACATTAAGATCCAATAGTGAAAACTGGTTTTCTTCAACAACTCTCTCATGAAGTGAAGAATTTAGTATCAAGGCTTTAGAGACAATAGATTCTTCATTAATCTGATTAGGACCAAAGTCGGTGAGTTCGCATGTGGCCGTGCATGTCCAATGAGATGAACAATGTTTATTGTTAGAATCAGGCACTTAAATAGCATTGCGACCAAAAAGTGAGTCATATACACTTAATGTCGTTCCTTGGACTCGTTGACTATTTTTGCTCTCTAAGATAGTCAGTTTTTACTTTGCGAAACACTTGAACACCACCATGATGGATACCAAAGCTCAAATCGGTGTTGTCTAGAAGGAGGATTCAATTTCTGCTACGGTTGACACAAATCAAGTTGTTATACCCAATCAAGCCCTGCAAAGAAAAAAAAAAGGGGTTAGAAAAAAAAAAAAATTTGCTCCAGTATGCGTGAAAAAAAAAAAAATATTCTCCAACGTGCCTGGAGTGAAAAAAAAAAGTTCTCCAGCGTGCGTGGAGAGAGAGAGAGAAAAAAAAATATATGTTCTCCTGCATGCGTGGAGAGAGAAAAAAAAAAATTGTTCTCCTACATGAGTGGGGAGAGAAAGAGGAAAAAAAAAAGAAAAAAAAAGAAAAAAAGAAGAAGAAACACACGTACCAATTATTTGTGATCTGACAAGTTTTCAAAGATTTTTGGAATTGATATTAAACCCTACAATATTGAGGGTATATATAGGCAACAAGATACCTCCAAGTTGTATTGGGATTTGGACAATTCAATTTAAATAGGAAAGTACAATTAAGATGGGAAAAAAAAAAACAAAAACTTCAAGTCCCACTTGGAAAAAAAGACAAGTCTTGTCAAAATTGGGACTTGAAGTGGGGGCAATTTGTAGACACTAAAATTTAGTGGGCTTTGGTTTTAACGAATGGACCCATTAAATATAGGCCTAATGTTTAAATAAATCATTTAATTTACCAGGCTTGGTCCACTTAAATTATTTAATTAGCCCAGCCTAGATAATTAAATGAAACAATAATTATTCCTAATAAAATATATTTTGAATAATTATCTTTAAGGATAATTATCACAATATAACCGGCCCGGCCCAGTTATAGTTTTATCCTTATCAGGAGATGACACGTGTCAACATCCTATTAATCCAAGAAGCCTATAAATAGAGGCTTGGAGGAAGAAAAAAAGGGGAGAGGATTCAGAATTCAGAAGTCTACAAATTCAAACACAACTTCTGAATTCAGAAGTTCAGAGACTCAGAAATCCAGAGACTCAAAATTCAGACACAAAGCGAAGAACATCAAGCACATCCAACAATGTGCCGTTCTTCATCAAATTCCACAGTTATTCAAGAACAAGCTCGTGCAGCCCTTGGATCCAACCAACCAAAAACAAGGAGATCGAATCAGAGGACCATTCTTTTTTTTTTGTAAAAGATATTACAAAGGACTGTACTCCACATTCATAAATTAATAAAATTTTATTTTGCTCCATATTTTGTTTCTATTGCAGACTTACAAAATTTGTGTATACATAAACTAAAAATTAATACAATAATATACTAAGTAAAATTTTGAGAAATTCAACTTTTCAAGAGATTAAGAAAATCATAACTAATTAGTCTAATCCAATCCAAATTTAAGAAAGCTAAAAAAAAAAAAACACACACACACACCCGCACAAAAAATACATATATACATACAAAATTTATATAGAGAGAGGAACAAAAAAAACTTTGAGATTAACTTGGATTGCAGTGTGCATAAAAATCATTGACATCGATACTTAGGTCAAATCAATACATGTGTGCAATGAAATAAGGAATTTTTTTTGTTCGGAAGTTACAATGAAATAAGGGATTGTAAGGATATAATCTTTCTTTGTGTGTGAAACTTGTCTCTCTACACTCTCTTTATCTCAGGAGTAAAAGGGCAAACAAATTCAAGTGGGGAACAAGACAAAACAAAAAGGTCAAAAAAGGGAGGCTACATTCGTACCCTACTTTTCTCCAATTGCATTCCATTTCTCTTTTTCTTTTAAAGGAAATGACAAGAAGATCGTTGAATTTATTAATGCACCATCCCTTAATTTATAATGTCAAAATTATCCTCTATATAATTTAACTTTTTTTTTACCTTCTTTGCTATCTGTTTTTTTCCTTTCCCTTTGTCTTTTCCAGATGTCCTCTCAAAGAAAATAATTTATTTCATACTAATAATTTTTGACAGTCAAAAGAGATAATTTATACCATGTACAATCCAAAGAGATATTTATTCAACAAAGTTATATATATATTTTTTCAGTCATGTTAAAAGAGAGAACTTTTCTTTTTTACTTATTTTATTTTTGGTAATTTTGTATGGATCCTCTCAAACGAAATAATTTATTGGATAAAAATAACTTTTTTTTAATTCTCTTCTTTTCGAAAAAAGAGATAATTTCTTTAATAAATATTTTTTGGGAGAGGGTTTTTTTTATGTTAAAAGATAAATTTTAATGGTTACTTTTATTTTTTTGGTTTGGTGGAGGCCATTTATTCAACATAATTTTTTTTTTTTTCTTTTTTTGGTGTCGCTAAAAAAAAATTATTCAAATTTTTTTTTTGGTCTTGTCAAAAAAGACCTAAAATATTAAAGATTAGAGATAAGGAAAGAAATTCTTAAAGGTTGGTTCTGTCATTTAAAAAATAATAATTATTTACTTTTAAAGTTAATGTTAGAATTGTTATTTCATTTTAGATTATAGTGTAAATGTTGAAAAGTGGAGTGCGGATATCGCCTCCTAAGAAATATAACTTTAAAAAGAAAAAATAAGAATTGAAAAATTTAACAAAACAATAACTATGATAAAAAAAAACAGAAACAAATTAATAAAATAAGAATTTAGATTATTTGATCATCGATTTTTGTTGATATTCAAAACTTCAAATGAAAATTTTGTTCTAGATTTTATAAAAATTAAGTTCTTATAGAATTCTTAAAAAAGCATTCCAATAAAAATAAATAAAAAGATAAAAAAAAAAGATGGAAAGAATCATGTATAAGATGGAATTTTAGGATAATAAGGTTATGGAAAGAATCGTGTTTGAGTTGGAAGGATTTTAAGATAATCAGGTTATGGAAAGAATTGTATTTGAGTTGAAATTTGAAGATAGCTCCATTAAATTTGTATGTGAGTCCATTTTTATCGGGGTTCTACCGTCGTAAATTAAATCACTTTCCTTTAAATTATATATAAACTATGAGTTGAAATTTTAAGATAGCTCCGTTAAATTTGCATGTGAGTCCATTTTTATCGGGTTTCTACCGTCGTTAATTAAATCACTTTTCTTTTGATTATATATAAACTATTTTTTGTTAAATGGTAATTAAGGTTCTCCACTATCTTTTGTTAAATGCTAATTAATAGATTCTACAGCCGTTAATTAAATCACTTTCCTTTAAATTATATATAAACCATGAGTTAAAATTTTAAGATAGCTCCGTTAAATTTGTATGTGAGTCCATTTTTACCGGGTTCTATAGTCGTTAATTAAATCACTTTCCTTTAGATTGTATATAAACTATCTTTTGTTAAATGCTAATTAAAGAAATAAGTTTTTTTTTTTTTTTTTTCTTAGGGGTGCCAAGTATAAATTTTATATCATACATATTATACCATTTTTATTTTTATCTATACTAAAAAAAAATTCAAAAAATTAGGGGGGGCCATGGTCACCCCAGCCCCCCCTCCCTTCGTCCCTGCCCAGCTCATCAACCCTAAACCTAAACCTTGCGTTGGAGGAACTCAGAAGGTCACTAATTAATAAACTAGTTTTTTTCCTTTGGTTTTTTTTTTTTCGTTTGCTAAATAGAATCCAACATAAGAATAAAATCCCTCTCAATAATGGCCATAACAAAAATCAATTGCATTTTACTTATATAAAATAAAATAAAAATAATAATAAAAAAAGATGAAAAGACTGCAAATATCAAGCGCATAACAGGTCATTAATTGGGTACTTTTAATGGAGGACAGATCATTAATTGGCTACTCTTAATTAATTAATTAATTGGGTATTTCAATTGTTTTAGAAAACCTAAACCTAGTTGACGAACCACGATCCTATATAAGCTGGTGCTATTTACTAGACTTCAATTAAAGACTAAAATTAAGCTGCCGTGTATATTCGTTTCTCTAGCTAGGGAAATATTCCATCTCTCTCTATATATATACACACTGATACACATATATGCTATACAAACTTCTCATCCTGTTTCATCTTCTGAAGAAAAAGATAATGAACACCACCACCGAACCAACAAAAAGATGAGCAAATGAACACCACCATTGACCACCGACAAAAAGATGAGAAACAACATCAGAAGAACAAAGTTACAAAAAACAGTCAAGAAGAAGATGAATAGAATTGTGATGAAGAAGAAGATGATGAGAGGAGGAGGATGATGAGTAGGTGGAGGAATCAGATGCAGAAGAAGAAAAGGATGAATCCGAATCCGAAGCAGGAGGGCAAAAACAAGATGGTGAAGATGAAGACGAATTTGCTGAATAAGCAGAAGAAGATGACGAAAAAGATGAAGATGTAGAAGAAAAAGTGGGAAATAGCCCTCTGCCTGTTGACAAGAGATCACCGCTCTTCCAAACCCCTCCCAAAGGCTGCAGTGAAAGCAGGGACGTCAAAAATTGAGTCATGGGGGCGGACCCATATACTGATATGGGTGCCTTTTATGAATATATCAAAAATTCTCTTCACCTTTTATCTTGACCATCTTGTTTCTGCCCTCTTGCTTGGGATTCAGATTCATCCTTTTCTTCTTCTGCATCTGATTCCTCCACCTTCTCATCATCCTCCTCCTGATCTTCTTCTTCATCACGGTTCTTTTATCTTCTGCTTGACTATTTCGTAACAGTGTTCTTGTTTCTCATCTTTTTGTTGGTAGGTGGTGGTGCTCATTTGCTAATCTTTTTGTTTTTGTTGGTCAGTGTTGGAATTCATTATCTTATTCTTCAGAAGATGAAACAGGAGGTGAAGTTTGTATAGCATATATGTGTATCAGTGTTTATCTACAGAGAATATGGAATATTTCCCTAGCTATGTTAATCTATATAGAGATATGGAATATACACGGCTGCTTATATCAGAAGGTGGTTCGTCCAGGTTTTGGAAAACAATTGAAATACCTGATATTTGCAGTCTTTTCATCTTTGTTTTTTTGAAGTAAAATGCCATTAATTTTTGTTATTGAATGATATGGCCATTATTGAGAGGGATTTAATTCTTATGTTGGATTCTATTTAGCAAATGAAAAAAAAGAGAGAAAAAAAAAACTAGTTTTATCATTAGTGACCTTCTGAGTTCCTCCAACACAAGGTTTAGGTTTACAAATGCCCTGGGATAAATCCACCTACAACTAGATACTAGATTCATCTCCTAACTAAATATTAGGATGAGAAGTAGAAGAAACCAAACAAGAGTTTTTTTTCCCCTCTATTTTTCCTTCTATAACCATGCTAAGAAAGATCAGGAATTTTTTTTTCAAAGCAGCAAAACTAGATTTGATATTAAACACCTCATCACATCAACTCTTCTTTTTGGTAGGTAAAATACACACACACTGTTGCTCCTACCAATGATCCCTTGTTAACCATGGATAATTCGCCAATTTCTCTACTTTCAGAATCAAAGATCACTTAATATCTTGTCAATCCGGTGGTAAACCAGAATCATCTCAGAAGTTCCTAAAGATGGGAAATTGGATAAAAATAACTTTTTTTAATTCTCTTCTTTTCGAAAAAAGAGATAATATCTTTAATAAATATTTTTTTTGTCCGGATAGTGCTTGCATTGGACGAAGAACCTTACTTAACTAAATCATGTTATATTGGTATATCAGTACTTGCATGCATGAGTAATGTAAGTACCAATATAATAGAGAAACCAAAATTATAATAGAATAGGGTCATGCACAATGAGAAAATTAAAAGTGAAGAATAAGATCATGGCTAAAAGTTCAGATACTCAACAATCATTGCATGAGAAAGCTTGAGTAAAACATTATACCTATCAGGGTTATTCAACATGATGCCTCAATTGGAAACACGAAACAAAAGAAAATGTTCAATTAAACTTATTTGAAATGAGACAACCAGCTCGAAAATTAATCCATGTTTTTCACAGTACACCATGTTTTTCCTCTCTGACACAGCAAAAACCTGAGGCGCTCTGCTCTCCTAAAAACTGACAAAATGTCGTCTTCCGATAGCCCCAAACTCTTAAAGAGCTCCAATTTCAGCTCCCAATTCTCTTTACTCATCGAACTACTAGCTCGAATCCCATAAATAAACATCTTAGACTTCCTGTCAATGCCCATCTCATCAACCCTCTCGACACTTTCTCTAATTCTCGTTTAAGCAAGAAAATTGTTGGAAAATTATAGAAAAATCCAGCTATTTGCGAATAACTAATACCACAACTCTTCATAAATTCAATATTGGGTATCATAGTTTTCGCCAAATCATACCTCAAAATCCTTGCAGATTTCTTTAAAACCCTATACACTTCCATACCTAAACAAAAAACACTTTTCAATGCTAAAATCGTCAGGCCAAGCCGATTATCCGCAAAATTGTTGGAAAATTATAGAAAAATCCAGCTATTTGCGAATAACTAATACCACAACTCTTCATAAATTCAATATTGGGTATCATAGTTTTCGCCAAATCATACCTCAAAATCCTTGCAGATTTCTTTAAAACCCTATACACTTCCATACTTAAACAAAAAACACTTTTCAATGCTAAAATCGTCAGGCCAAGCCGATTATCCGCGCTACTAGTTAGAATTTGTGGGTCACACGAAACAATTTTCACAATATCGCTAGAAGAAAAACCCAAGTCCTGAAAAAGCTTGAATTTGAGTTTGATGGAGCGCTCAATTTGCAGAGAGAAGTTGAGGCGCGTGTTTGATGACACGCTCGAGATGGGTATCCGAAAAACCAATTTCCGGGAGAAATGAAAGAATGGAATTGGTCTTTTCAGGAGAAAATTTGTGTCTATCAATCAAGTAATCGGCCACGGCATTGGGGGATTTTTGGAGAGGAAGAGAAGAAGAGGAGAGAGAAAAGAGAGATTGGGGTTTTGTTGAGATGTGAAGAGTTCTTAAGAGAGAGTGAGATGAGACTTTTGCAGATATATATAGTCATTTCTTGAAACTACACGCACATATAACATGCAATCAATCAAAGCGAAGAGTGATAAGATGAGTACCAATCAAAGCGAAGAGTGGAGAGATGAGTCCTTGCCTGTAAAGTGGGGAGCTTCGTAGATTTGCAGTGATTTGATTTCCTCTCTATCATTGTGGATCTCTCTCTTTCTGTGGTTCTCTTCAGAGTGTTTTAATGATGAAAAGTGTCCAAGTCCTGGCCGAAGAATTTGGTGGGCTGGCTGGTGCATGGGTGTTTATTACTTGTGCGCAATTGGATTTCTGGAGTTGAATTATCAGTCGTGATTTACATCAAAATAGTGGGAGTTATAATGTAAGACTTTATATCTTAGACGCATTATAAAATTACTTTAATTTAAAACGATCTCATTCACATCAAAATGATCAAAGTTATCACGTAAGAGACACATTATAAAATGACTGTAATTTAAAAGGACAAAAGTTGATCTAGTGGTTACTCCAAAATCAAGGAATGTGATCTGATATATATTTGTGCACTGTATTTATTATTTTCGCCTCAAATTAAATATATTTTTTTAAAAATCTAATTTTTAAAGAGAATGAATTTTAGTACTTTGTTATTGTATTAATAGTCAATGAATTATCATTTATATATTCATAATGGTCCATAGGATGTAAGGATTACAACGGGACGGATTTGGAGCGGATTCGTTCCCGTCCTAGCTGATTATTTATAAATCCATGCCCGCCCGTACTCGGAATTGGCTGAATTTTCAGCATCCATTCCCATCCCATTGGGATATGAATGAACCCGTGCCCGCCCCGATTACATTTTTTTTTTCTTTTTCTTTTTCAATTCCTAAAAATCCGAAACAAATATGCCACGAAGGGTAGATCAGAATGGTGATTATTTTAGGTCCAACCATTCACGCTTAAACCATCAGAATTTTATGCAAATTCTCTGCAAATTAAAAATGAATGAAATTTAAAAGCTAAGGTTAAGGGAAGTTGGGTGATACTTATAGTTGATCTAGTAGTTTCTCTAAAATCAAGGAATTGGATCTTATCCGGCACACATTAGTGTACTTAAATTATTTACAAATAAATTAAAATTGTAGTACCATGCAACCTCATTAAATCAAAGATTTACTTACCCAAAAAAAAAACCATTAAATTGAAGATTCAACGAGAAAAAATATATTACATTGTTGCAACTCAATGAAATTCCATGAGTTTTGCATTATCAAAGTAAATGTTTCGTTGAAGGTTCATACATACATATTTTGTATATTACGAAATGATACATCTCTCAAAACATTATACTACTCTGTTGTTATCTCCTAGGACTGCAAATGAATCTAGTGGCCCTATATATAATTTGAGGCCTACGATAAAAAGTCTAAATTTGATATTTTAATAATTAATATATTAATATAAAAAAATAGTCAATAAATTTTCTTTAAAAATCACCATTCTTGCTTTTAGATGACTTGTTTGTTCAATTATTGAATTTTTAGCTAAATTATTTGTTATATTTCGTTTGTTATATGTAACAAATTTAACAAGAGATACTTGTTTACAATGAATCAGTTTCTCTCTCTCTTTAAGCCTTTCATTTTTTGATTCAAACTTTTTAGTAGACATATTAAATAATTTAAATAAAGATTGTCACAATTTTTTTTTACACTTAAATGACAAAAATACTAATAAGACTACAAAAATAAATTAAGCGAAGGACCAATAAAGCTAAATGTTAGAAAGATTTTGTTCAATGCTCCAACAAATTCTTCAATTCTTTCTCTTCCTATTTTGTAGCTTCTAATGAAGTTTGGCACCCAAGTAGAAAATTGCTCCTTTCCTTTTAGATTGAAAATAATATACTAATTCCAAATATTTGGAGTATTAGTTTGGGACACGCGTAAAGTGAAAGTTTGCAATGAAACAAATATAGAAAAGCTCATAAAGAAATACGAGAGAATAACAAAAATAGGAGATAGAGAGAGAAAAGAAAATAACAAAAATAGGAGATAGAGAGAGAAAAGAAAAGAAATGATAAAGGAGAAGTGTGTTCGGATGGTTTTAGTGGAGAGAAAATAAAGAATATCCTCCAAATCCCTTAAATACTATCCCTCCAAAAGGTGAAAAGATAAGGAGGGAAAGGATATTTTTATAATCCGAAAACTGTTCTCAACAATGAAAATGAGGAAATTGTTATTTCACTCATGTCCAATTTAATTAAAAAGGTATGATAGTAATTTGGTTGTTATCATCTTTTTTCTTTTCTCTCATCTATCTTATCCAAACAAGAATCCTATCTTTTTTTATTTTTATTTTTTATTATTTTTTTTTATCTACACAAACATGAATAAAGATTATTGTAATCATTTTCTTTATTTTCTCTTCTCTCATAACTAATGCTATCATTTCCTTTCCATTCTCTCTTATATATCCAAATGGAAACGGACCAGAAATTATGCACTCCTCAACGCCTACATGGTGCAACCCCTTTGATGGGCGTGACACTCAGCTAACATTTTTCTTACATAAAAACGGTAGGCATAATTTTTGAAGTAATTGATGAAAAACCATATCCACTTTATGGATTATTTTTGACAATTATCCACCATTTGATTAGATATTGGTGTAACTTTTATAACCTTTCTTTAACTTTTTCTTTGTTCTCTCTCT